GCGTTATTTTACAGCCAAGCGCAAACTGCGATATAGTTACAATGCGCATAAAATCGATGTTTTCGTGTCTTTCATGAATAGAACTGTTACAGTTCTTTTTATTCTATGTTTTAACCAAGTTTTTGTACTGGTTTTGTTTTTTGAGGTGGACTGCTGAGGTTTGTTCAACCACTTTGGGCCTCTGGTTGTTTTTAAGCACTACTTTTAGGGCAACATGAGAGGGTTTTTTATTCTTTTAATCTGTAAAACACTAATATTTGATCTGTCTGTTTCAAATAGAAATGCAGACATTTGCACAAACCTTATTTTTAAGTTGGACAGTATTGATTTTGAATGAACCACTGAGGAAAGCTTCTCTTCTTCTTCTATTCTCTGTAACGTGTGTACATAAACATACTGTATACTGCCATTTCATATCCTTTATACTGGTTTGAATTGTCATACAAATACTAAAATGATTTTAACCATGGCTGCATTGTGATTTTTTAACATTTACTATTTGTTTTTCTATTTCCCTTTTTAAAGGAGTTGGACTCTTTTATAGACTTTTTCTTTATTGTTTTGTTTTCAGACATTAACATGTAAATGAAAATGAGAAAGTGAACCAGTGTGTTCTGTTGAGTGCACAGACAAACTTTTTTTTTTCTTCTTCTTTTCAGTATTTGATAAATACTTACTGGAGGATTGTGCAAATAAATGACAAATAATAAAAAATACATTTGTGTTGTTTGCTCTGAAACTGAAGACATTAAATGTTGTAAATGTTAAAGTATGACCCTTTTTAGATTCAAGTATCTTATTAATTGAAGAAAATCTATCTAATTTATATTACCAATACATTATTTAAGCTTCTATGCTAACTATTGAGAATTTCCCAATAAATGTGCATTCAGTAGTATTGTAGCCTAGCGTTAGCATCGCTGTTCTTAGTCTAACATTACTTTAAGGTGTTAAATGCTGCACTGCCATCTGTCGACGGGAATCAACACAATCGTTTCTTGAGTTTTATGTGAATTACACTGATTCTAGTGAGTTTTAAAGAGTGGTCTACACAATAAATAATTCCCTTACCTGGTCAACATCAAAAGAAGCGACTTGAGCGTATCTATTCAGGATTTTCTCCATTAAATCTTTCCTTGTTGTATGGAGTACCGATGTTTACGCTTGTCTTTTTTTCTTTGTAGTTCCTAATGACATCTGGCTTCAGACCTTTTCAGCTTCTTCGGCCTAAATCAAGATAATAACTGTCTATATAGTCCATAGTCCTCATTTTTGTTCACCAAACATTCTTATTCTTCTTTTTTTGATGAGATTTGCAACAGACTAGACGCATCAACTCACGAAACATTACTAAGCTATCAACAGAGGCGGCAGCCAACGAGCGGGAAAATTCTCTCAGACGTTACCAGAGATTGATTTGGGTCTGTGTAACGGCTAACTTGGATCACGTGAGGTACCTCAGCCAATCAAACAGTGGCAGTGACGTCAGTGGCCGATTTTTTTTCACAGTAAAATAAAAAAATAGCGCAAATTGCATTTTAAAAAAACAGCGTGATTGGGCATACAGACTAAAAATGTCATTTATTTGTTGAAATCTGGAAGCCATAGAAAGAATACCTTTTTATTTATTTATTTAACCTTTATACATTAAAAAGCATTATATCTTCATACGCAGCAGTCACAAGTCATTACATACATTTCAAGTCTATTGAAACTTGAAACCCATAGAAATAACATTTTATTTTCATTAAACAACATACAATGTAATACAATAATTGAAATAATTCATTCATGTCCTCATAAAATGCATTATTTCAACAGAAGGCATATCGTTATTACAATTCAAGTCTAATTTCAGGTAAAACCTGAAAACCAAAGAAAGAAAACATCGATATTTTTAGACAATAAACAATATTACATATCTTTTACTGAATAGTAATGCCGTAAATGAGTTCAACCTGTCGCGACATTCCCTACTCTGCCTTCTCCTAAAAAATAACATTTTTATCAAGGAAAAATCTACATATAGTTCCAAATGAAAGTAATGTATGGTGTAAAACATGTTGAAGATTAGCGAACAGGTCGTAGATTCATTAAATTATAAGCTATTTCCTCAAAAAATTCTTTTTGTGAGGAAAAATTCTTCGTCATCAGTTAGGAACCTAGGTGTGCTATTTGATAGCAATCTTTCGTTAGAAAGCCACGTTTCTAGCATTTGTAAAACTGCATTTTTCCATCTAAATTATGACCTATTCTCTCAATGTCAAATGCAGAAACGTTAATCCATGCGTTTATGACCTCAAGATTAGATTATTGTAATGCTTTATTAAAAGCGCTATATAAATAAAGGTGACTTGACTTGACTTGACAAAAGCTGTTTATTCAGCGTAGTGACGCCGCTCCTCCATTGACATCCATTCAAAAACCGCCTCTGGTCTCCTTCCCTGCGTGCCGCCAAAGGGTTGCCTTCCAGTGGCTTTGACGTTTCCGCGCGGGTGATGTCATTTCAATATGTTTCCAACATTCCAACAGTTTTTTCTTTCTACTTTTTGTACCATGAGTGCAGTCTTTATCGCATGTAAGTGTACAGCATTCAGATGACTCTTCACAAAAACACAACTTATTTTTTTAATGTGTAAAACGTTTTAGGCACCTACTAAATAGCCTACACCTTTAAAGGGGTCATATGATGCTTTTTTAAAGATCATTATTTTGTGTATTTGGTGTAACAGAATATGTTGACATGCTTTAATGTTCAAAAAACACATTATTTTTCAAATACTGTACATTATTGTAGGTCCTCTATGCCCCGCCTCTCTCAAACGCTTCGTTTTCTACAAAGCCCCCTCCTTGCAGAGTCTTAACTTTGATAAAGAATATCTCTTTGGTTTTGAGACTTTAGTCTTTGCAACTTCAGGGATCTTATCTATGCACAATCAGCTTGTAACACTCCAAAGAGAAAGGAAAACTTGAAATCGCATCATATGACCCCTTTAAAGTTTTTGACGGAATAGACACAAAGGAGAAAAGAAAAAGATTTTTGTTAAAGAAAAGGGGATGTTTACTTTTTATTCCTTTTTTATTTTATCCTTAAATTGTATTCCTTAATTACATTTGTGTTTAATGTTTAATATCTGATACATAAGCACACTCATACAAATCATTTATCATCTTGCTCTTAAAGCCGAGCTCATCCTCACTGTTAAGATAGTTTAGTCCTTTACACATGTTTGTTTCTTTGGAACACACGAAAGACCAATTTATATCGCGGTACAATACTAGCTGCATCTTATAAACAACTCCGAATAATTACATAACTAAAACTGGAGTTATAATTGATTATAAAAATGGCTAATAATGAAAACTACATCACTAATAGAAAATCTATTTCAAAACTGATGCACAGAACTGTCAACTTTAACATGATCAGCTTCCAGGTCACGTGCACTTCTGTGTTCTGCCAACAGATGGCAGTAAAATCAAAGTAAACTG